CAAATACAATCCACCTTAATAACATTTAATAATCTCAGTGCCTGAGTCTCCCTTTTCCAGCACTAATACCATACCTCAGCCTTGCTTAAAAATTTGTACTGTTGCCACCACTGATATATCTGTTCTAGGAAGAAACAGGCTTTCATTCCCAGGACTGTCAAATCAGGAGCTTTCACAAGAATACAAAGATTCACTCTATTATTGCACTTCATAGAACTCATGCCTGTAGCTTGAAAATAGAAGTCTTTGGTGTAGGCATTTGCTTGTTTGACAGCTCTGTTCTAAATTTTGAAACTGGTGGTACTGTAAAGTGCCTGTCTGACAATGGTGTAGCAGAGCTTAGTCATGCAAAATAATTATTGTTCACGGTTCCTTAGCTGAAGTCAATAGCTCCGTGCAAAACACAACATAATGCAGAGATCTAAAGTTACTAAATCAAAACTGAGAAAAAGAAGAATTTTAAAGAGGTTTGGCAGAAAAAAATAGCTTCTACAAGATTTGCCAAGTGATTTCTCTCAGCACATGGAAGGCTCTAATATTTCTAAAAGAAGATCCATGATAGAAACGGTGGTAACTTTTATTAGTACATTCTGGTAACTGTTGTTAGTAAGCTTATACGATGTCAGAGAAACAAAAGCAATTATGGAGATATTAACAAATGGTGCATGGTGCTTGCTTTCCAAACTTAAAATATTTTCAGGTTTGCTTCTGTGAATGTATTGTTTTAAAAGCCTCCAATATATCACCTACACTGAAAGAAGGATTGATTAATCTAAGTTTGTAACTAAATTTTTTGATTGGAGTGCCAGGATGCCTTCCCTGGACCTATAGAAGAGTCCATGAATCAGTGTTGTAGTATATGCTGGAAAAGTCAGCATTAATCCCACAGATGAAGAATTACGTGTCCATATTGCCCGAAACATTTGCTAGAGAATTTTGGCAAGATTAGGTGTTGCTACTTGACTGCTTGTAATAAAAGAGATGATGTCCTTTTTAACCTTTGGCAGATAATTGCACTTAACAATATCCATCTTCCGGGAGAAACAAATAAAATTTTAATTTCTTTAGAAGAGGGACAAACAAATGCACTAAGCTTTCATAGACTCCTCTATAATACATTTACCTACATTTTTTCTTCAACACTTTCCATCTGATTTAAGATGGAATCAATAGAAGTGAATATGTTTTTTAGGCTTAGCTCATTGTTACCTTTCACAGAGTTAATGAATTTTAAAAAATTAATTTCTTATTGAGGTATAATTTATGTACAGTATAAATTATGTACTGTATACAGTGAAGTATACAGATTTTAAGTGTATAGTCAATGTTTTGATTAATGTATACAGTACTCTCAAGTTTTATTATCATAATTTTACCTATTTTTGAACTTATGTGAATGAAATCATACAGTATATAGTCTGTTGTGTCTCTTTTATTTAACACAGTATTGAGATTGTGTCATGTTATTGTGTGTATCAGCAGCTTATTATTATTATTATTTTTTATCATGATGTAGTTAGTATTCTTATAGGAATATACCATAATTTATTTTTCCAGTTTTCTGCTGATGAACATTTGCGTTTTCTCAGTTTGGGGCAATTATGACTAAAACTGTGAAGAAATACTTAAACAATCCTTTTCGTGTCTCTATGTCCTCATTTCTCTTGGGTAATACCCTGAAGTGGAATTTTTGGATGATAGCCTAGGTCTGTATTTATCTTTATAAGAAATTAGGTGACAGTTTTTCAGTATCAGTGTTCCATTTTATACTCTCACAGGCCACGTGTGAGAATCCCATTTGCTTCACATCCTCATCAATATTTGATTGTGTCTGTCCTTTTAATTCTTGCCATTCTAAGGTTTTGGAAGAAGTAGCTCATTGTGGTTTTGATTTGCATATCCCTGAATACTGACATTAAACACCTTTGCGTATGTTTTTTAGCCATTCATATGTCTTCTATTGTGAAGTGTCTGTTCAAATCTTTTGCATATTTTTCTATTTTTAATTGTCTTTGTTGTCTCTTAATTATTGCTATAATTATTCTTCGTATATTTTACATATAAGTTCTTTGTCAGATAAATGTAATGAGAATATTTTCTCCCACTGTGGCTTGCCTATTCATTTTCTTAATGATGCCTTTTGATGAGCAGATTTTAATTTTGACGAAGTCTAATTTGTCGATTTTTTTCTCTTACAGATAATGATTTTTGTGTCTGGTTTAAGAAATTTTTGCCTACTTCAAGGTCATGAATATATTTTCTTACACTTTCTTCTAGAAGTTTTATGGTGTTAGCCTTTAGGTCTAGGATCCATGTTGACTTAATTTGTATGTATGGTGTGAACTAGAGATTGAAGTTCACTTTTTTGCATATGACCATCCAGTTGTTTCATCTCCATTTATTAGAAACTTTTCTTTCTCCATTAAATTGCTTTGGCACCTGAGTTGGAAATTAATTGACCAATTAAGTGTGGTTCTAGACTCAATTCTATTCTTTTGACTTGTCTATCCTTTCGACTGTACCATATTCTCTGGATTAGCTGCATAAGTTTTCCCATGTTTTTAGTCCTGTCTCATTGTGGCTACTTTTACATACTGAAAAATTTAGGTTCAGAGTTTATTTTAGAAATCAGTACAACTTTCAAACTGCTCTAGATCTCAGAATGTCTACCTATAAAATAGGAAAAATAAGAATTCCCTTGTAGGGCTGTTGGGAGAGATAAACAATCTTAATATACTTTTTAAAAGTATGTTATAATTCTAAATAATAATTGTATGTTTAGAATGTTGCATATATTTGTTTTACTTTTTGCTTTCCTTAATCTTAATACATATTCTAATGTATGTTTACTGAAATCTCCAAGAAGGGTATGCACCTTTGTTTCAGATTTTGGGGGCACCTAGTCTTTGGATTTAAGGACAAACAAAAATCTGAGATAACTAAAAGAAGTGATTCCTTCCCACTTACAGGAAATCTAGTCTAGTGAGGATGGCAATCTTTTCTGATATTTCTCTGTCTGTGTTTTTAAAAGGCAAAAGCTACTAGACTTCTAATGCTTTATTCTTCCAGACCTTTCTGATTTGATCTCCCTTTTCTTTGTTGTGGCAGTTACTCTTTGCTGATTGACCTTTGCTCTCCCTATCCCAAATCAATGAACTTTAAACTGTTCTAATATTTACTAGAAAATTACTTGTCCCAAAGATTTCCTTGCAGGCTTAAAACAGTGGCGAGAAGAAGAATTCAAAGTTTGAACCCTCCCCTTTACCCAAACTAAAACAAGCTGAATTAATAACTCTTTCTGTTCCTCACTCATTTAATAACATAATACAAAGATGTATAGAAAGCATAAATTCTTTCACAACCTTTTTCCTGTTATTGCCTTAGTTCTTACCCCAATTTTCATTCTGATTTCTACATTGAAGTTTTTTCTTTCTCAAGCTTAATGGCAACTTCTTACTTCTTTGGCTTTTGTGTTTACTAGATTGTAAACTCTTTGAGTAAAATTATTTTATTTTATTTATTTATCTTAGTTTCATACTTTAGCATCAAGCCAAGTGCCTTGTATTTATTTCATAAATATCCTTTGAATTAAATTAATTACAGTCAAGTGCTGATATTATATCAAAGACAGATATATATCACACAGGCAATAATTGTTCATGGTTTTTTGATAGCAGGAACTTAGTATTTATTCACTGATTAGTTAATTTTGAATACATTTTATAATTAGAGCATCAGATGAGTCAAGTGCTCTTTTCAAAAACATATTAGAATGTGAGAATTGCTCAACTGGAATTCTGTAGGTCAAATTATTTAAGTAATAGCTATATCTTTTCCTGTAAAGCAATCCATAAGATTTGGGCCATATCACCTCATAAAAAATGAAAAGAGCCTTTTCAATGCTTGTAGTACTAAACTCCAATGGCAAGAATTCAGAATAGAACTATCTCAAATTCTGTCCAGTTCCAGTTAGTGTTGCAGCCAGGTTCCAGTGTACTTTAACAAAATAGGTGACTAGTTTTCAAAAGATACAGACATGAAAATGAAGCATTTGTTTTCTGATGCTAGATTTCCCAATACTCTTACTGGTATGCTCATGTAAAAATTGTTCTCAGGCCTGTAATTAATTTCTGCTTCCTAGCACAAACTAGTCTTACTTCCCTTTTTTGTAGTAAATCCAAGACAGCTAGTCCTGGAAGCACCCCTTAAAGCCTAAAGGAGATAAAATTAGGACTCCCAAACCCCCAAAACGACAACAAAAACAAAGAAGCATACTGCACCTAACAGGTGGCAATGTGTGAGAAGTATTACCAGGAGAACAGTAATGTAGATTGAAAACATAAATTCTTAAACATTTCTAGATAAAGTCATGGAAGCTAGAGCCATAAGTATTGTTGTGGGTTAGAAGGCTTGGAAATATCTCTAGCTATTGATATTAGAATAACTATGTCCACCTAAAATATTTCCTTAACTGTCCCCATAAAAACCATACTAACCTGCTTGTGTAATAAACTTTACCCAATATAACTTCTCCCAATTCCATTTTGGACTCAACATTAGGGGACACGGTAAGGAAACAAGTTATCTGGGCTCACAGCTTTGGAAGGCTATCAGTCATCTTTACTAAATGTTTATATTGTGTCAGTGCCAGCCTTTGCCTTGCCACGGATGTATGGAAAATGAAGTTTAATGGAACATAATTTTATCAGTGATTGCTAACCATTTTTTTCCCTAGAGATTTAAATTTTCTATAAAGTTTTAAATACTTTCAAAGTTCAACGTTAAGATGTTTTTACATTGTTTCCAGCTAAATACAAGTTAACCGCTTTTTCCTTGTTTTCCCACTCCCGTACTTAAAATGCATGCAGAGTTCCTCCTATACAATAGCTAACATCTCGGCCCCACCTAATAGGAGAAATGGCATTTAGGGAAGAATTGCTGCTATTGGCGCCAGATAGAGGGGTTCAAATACCGGAGCCGGTAGGCGTTATTTACTCCCGGAGACAAAACAATCAGACGATTTAGGGAAGGTGTTTGGAGGCTGGGAGTTGTTTCATAAACGCTGGAGAGCAAATTAACAGAAAATTAGTCAGTGTGGGTGGCGCCTTCGTCCCGCCCACTCCCGCGCTCTGTGAAAGTCCCCGCAGCGCCGCGAGCCTCCTGCCGGGACAGGTTTGCTTCTTCTCTCCTGCTGAGACCCAGGGTAAGTGCCTGGAGTGGATATGGAGGGGGAGCGTGCAGAGAGGGTGCCTGGCCAGAAGGGGAATGGTTGGTGGGGGGCCGTAGGCTTGATAGGGCCCTGCCAGCTGGCAAGTTTTTTTGCTCCATTTATCTGCTAAATGTTTGCTTTTCGGTCGATCATTTCCAAAAGGGAGTTGTGTGCCTGTATCCTTGTAGGTAAGTTTTGCCGTTGTCAAATTTCAGGAATGAAACTTGAGAGCATAAGTCTTACCATGTTTGAGTGATGATCTACTCACTTTTTATTCTCAAGCCAAAGTAGCACCTACGTTGAAAGGGCCCCCTTGAACTTTTAGGGAATAAAAAGTACGAGCCATTTGTAGCAGTATATGAAGTCGCCGTCGTTTAAGCAACTTCTGTTCACCCTAAGGGTGTAAAATCCTGAAGCAGCTCTATTTCATGGTCAAATTGTCTTTTGCCTGCTGGGATGGGCTCCTCTTGGTTCACTTTGATACGCAGGAGAAATATTAGCAAGTTTAAAATAATAACAACAAAAACAATAACAAAGTGCAGGAGGACATGGATTAGACCCTGTGATCTAATGGCCAGTTGACTGGAAAGCTAAGGATAGAACTCCCTGGAAGGTTCTCCATCCCCAATCTGGAGTAGGAAGCCACGTGGAAGGAGTAAAAGAGAAGGGGACCTTCTGTGGTCCCCTCAGATATTATTTCTCTGGCAGGAGTGGAGATGTGAATGCAGAGAAGGGTGCTTGCAAGTCTTACATTTTCCTGTTTCCTTTGAAATACTTCCAAGGCCTCTTGGTAGTCCGGGCACCATGTGTACCCTCTTCCCTGTCTCTGCTTTCTCTCCAAGGGAGTGCCAAGCATTGTGTTGTATAGCCAGATGGAAACTTCCCCAGGCTCCCAGCTAACAGCCTTTAATCCAGTCAGGCCCAGAGTTCTCAGGGCCCTAGACTGCTGTGAATATCAAGCAAGGCATACCTTTTGCATGCCCTGTGGATTTACATTCTGGGAATTAGGGTAGTTTGGACTTTGTGGTCCTCTGCTATTTCCCAAATAAGAGCATTGCATATGTTGACCATCTTTGATCATTTTTTAAAATGGCAGATTGGTCCAAATTTGAATATTGCTCTCTGTGGCAGACAAGTATAATTTTTCTAAGGGTTTGTTTTTGAGTGGAGTTTATGAAACACTGGGGCTGGAAAAGGAAGTCAGCATAGTCCCCTGGTAACCACCTCACCGCACAGCCCCCCAGAGCCACCAGTATTTTCCTCCCAGCACCTGGGCTCCGAAGCATAGGAGGGCAAGTCTGCAGTCACCTCAGTCCATTCAGGAAATTCTAGAAACTCATAAACAACTACAAGGGCACTGTATTATCCTTTTTCCTTATCTCATGGGTAGTGTTCTTTTGGTTTCAGAAGGTATAAAATTGCAGAGTCATGGCCTTAGCGATGGGTGCCAGGCTTTCTGTGTGTTTCACAATCTTGGCATAGAGAGGCCACCATAATTAAGAGAACTTTACTCTTTTTGGCCAAAAGCCTGTAAAAACAAGAGGAAGATTCCTCAGTCGAGAGAGGGGTGGAGAAGGGGAGGGGAAGATAGGAATGAGAATGATTTTTGACAGAAAAAGGGCCTCCAGAACACCAGCCTTGATGCTGGGTAGCCCGCGAGTTAAACACTTGAGAAAACTGGGTTTCAATTTTGGTTCTTCCAGTGAATTTGGGTCAGATTACTCACTCTACTCTCTGGGCCTCAGTTTCCCTATGTGTTAAAGGAAGAGACAAATATTATTTGCTTTGACTATCATAGAGTATAGCAAATCGAGTGAGATAATTCAGAAGTATTTCGAAAACTCTAAAATTGTATCCTCAGTGCCTAGAACAGCACCAAAGTAAGAGCTTATTATTTATTTGCCAGGTACTTGTAGAACACTTACCAAGTCCTAGTGCTTTTCTAAGTACTTTACATTTACTCTTTTATGCTTACAAGATTCCTGTGAGGTAGGAGGTATTATTAACCTCATTTTACAAGTCAGGTACATAAGTACCAGAGAAGTTAAATCTCAGATAGTAAGTGACAGAGTCAAGATCCAGCTGGACTTCTGTCTAGTTCCAGAATCTGTGTGTGCTCAACACTCTGCTCTTTGTCTTCTCAAAGGTAGTCGCCTCCACATTAGGAGACTGAGCCCTGCCCTCTGGCCAAACAGATTGAGATATTCTCTTATGCCGACCACTGATGGACAATAAAAGAAACAACACACTGTACATTGTAATAATTTATTTTCTATAATTAATAACCAAGTTTCATATTTTGCTCTGCTTACTTTTTTTTTAAGGTTATTTCCAAGTCGCTCCTAGAATATGCAAATCACCTCAAATTTTACCCTCCTAATTATTATTACTACTATATTGCTCTCTTCCCTCCTGGCGACTATTCCTGTGAAAGCTTTCAGTAATTTTGTTTTTTGAGTAGTGCCTAGCCATAATGCAGATTCAGAGCAACTTATCGACAAATCAGCTTTGAAAAAAAAAAAGCCCAGGCCAGCATTGCCTTATTCTTTGCTATAAATGACTCTTATTTCTAAATGTCTTACCTTTACTCCTCCTCACCTGGCCCTCACATGTGCTGGGAATAGAAGATGTTGGTTCCAGAGAGGTAGTTCATGGACCTGTAGCATGCGATATCAGAGGCCGTTTTGGCCCATCTTCTAAAACTACATGCCTGAGGAGTTAAGCCACATTTTAGGTGATTGAAAAACTCTCTTTGGGTGGGGTGCAATTTCAATGTATTGTTCACATTTAAAGGGAAAGCTTCTCACTGCCCTTTTCTAACTGCTGATATCTTTGTGTTCTTTTCCTACCAACACTTCTGGAAGTTTTTCTTCCTCTACATTTTCCATACCAATTTTCACTAAGGGAAAAACATTCTTCGGACTTTTATTTCATTGCTAAATAAATTTCGTTGTGCAAACATTAGTAGACACCTACAGAAACTGTTTCGGTTTTAAAATTATTGTTAAATAACAACACTTCCAACTCGATAAACATTTCCTAAATTTTTATTTTTTAAATTAACATCCTCGTTATTTCTTCAGATCTCTATCCAGAGGCATAGAACTTAGGGATCCCTTATTAAGCTAATTACTTTACATGAGCTCCGAAGGATAGAGCAGCTTGTTCGTGACTTTCACCCCCTCAGTACTAGGACAAGTGCAGATACATGAAATGGTACTGAAAGTGTTATCTTGCACAGAGTCTTAACTAACGCACTGTGCTTTCTAGACTCAGTAGTGGGGTCTTGAAATTAATTCACCCTGTGGGGATGAATTAATTTGTTATCGTGTATTTTGTTTTTTAAATTAGGCTATATCATTTCTGTTTGCCTAAATCTAAGGAGTACACTTTTGGCCTACCCTTTAAAATAAGAGTTACGCCGGAAGCTTTGGTGCTTTGATCTGCAGAATGGGAATAATAATACCTACCTCAGAGCATAATTGGAAGAGGATAGAAGGCAACAGTTGTAAAGGGTACCAGCAGTGTCAGTCTCAGAGTATGTATTTAATCCATGTTAGTCGAATTAGAATTAAGCAGTTTTCAGTCTCTTAAAGACAGGGCAATGTGGTTAGTGTATGAGATATGAGGTCAGAGACGTCAGTTTGTATCCCAGGTTGGCTGCTTAACATCTCTATTTCCCATTTTCTTCATCTGTAAAATGGATCTAGTCATGAGGATTATAATATTATGAAGATCATGTAAGGCAATGCACATAAAGTACATAGCATAGTTGGATATGTGGTCAATTTTTATAAAATTAAATATATATGTATATGTATGTGGTTTATATCATATTCAACAGCAGCACATCGACAACTATATGACCAGTAACAGAGAATAGAAAAATATGTAGATTTATAGGTTATTGGAAGATATATAAAATGATTAGAATTTGATAGATGTCGGTCTTATAAGATGGCATGCAGAGGCTGAGTTTTAAAGGCAGGAGTGAACATTGTCTGGAATAGAGCACTCCATGCTTAGCAGGTTAAATAGTGTTTAAATTTGGGTATGAGAAAAGATGCGTGTTTCTGTGGAAGGTATAGAAGAAGCAGAAAATAGGGCTGATGATAGAACAAGAAAAGGTTAAAAAGTGTGATGACTGGATAATGCAGAGTTTAAATTTTAAGATTTACCCAAAATTCTTACCCACTTTAACTTCAGTGTCTGTGGCCTTAGCTTTCCCCCTGAGCACCGTCCCAATTATACGTCCAACTCTAGGCTAAGATGGTTACATTCAGTTTACTCTTGACAGTTTTCAAATGGAAGTAGATATGGCATGTGAAGTAACCTCAAGAGTTATGTAAAGTTAATCCTCTT